AGGAGGTAGATTAAGCCAGAAAGGTTGTTTGTAATGAACTCTCTAATGTGAAAGGGCTCTTCTCCCCACTCTCGCTTATAGGAAGTCAGTGGTGAAAATCCAGTTCTCTCCCTTCTGTGGAGTGAAATGGCACCATGGGATAGGAATGCCTGAGATGTCCTCCTCGCTGCCACACTTCCTGTCGGTACAGGCTGTTGCAACTCAGTGACTACCAGGGGCCAAGTACCTCTTCATCTCGTGACTTTGCTGTTCATTTCTCCGTCCATTGAAGGCCAGGGTTTCTCCTAGTGAATGTAGCCTCCTTAAGGGAGGCACAGTGACATGGAGAGTTTGGGAAGGTGATTGCCTTCTGCCTCCCTTCCTCCTCCAGCTCTCAGGGCTTAGCCAGCCCCCTCACCCTAAACCCTGTCGCTTGCCTCCATGCAATAAGCTGAGAACATTATGGTCTGGACTCATCTATCACTAAATCATGGCCAGGCAAAACTGCCTGCTTGGGGAAGAAGTGCCTTTTTCAGTCAGTTATCATGCAATAGCTCAGGGGAAAGGAGAGCTTGTGTTGCCTGGCTGTGCAGCCTGGCACATGCCAGTACAGATTGATTTTTTTTTTTAGGGATTCCAGCTTTTCCCTGTCACTCCATGCCTGGGCACTGTGCCTGGCTGGTCTCCTGGGAAAAGACATGTATTTATTTTTAGTTCCATGGGACATTTGTGTGTTGAAGGCTCAGAGTATGTTTGTCTGTGAAAGGGGCTGAGAATGGAACCATCTCTGCAAAGCAAGGGCAGGGGCTGGAATTCTTGTACTGTGTGACATGGGTGATGTATTGGGTTTTCAATGAGCCAGAGAAGGCTGTTTGGGGGTATTTTGCTTTTTCTTTTCTTCTTTACCTGTGCAACTTGTATGTATATAACCAGTTCCTTAATTTGGCTAATGCTTCCTCTAGAGGACCATGTGCACATACAGACTGAGTACTGCATGTCACCACGCATGTTAGAAGCCTTCAGCTGTAGGAAAGGCTGGGCTGGTCTCTCACACATTCTCCTTGTAGTGTAGGGTCCTTGATCTCTAATATGCTCCAGTTGACTGGATCGCCTCCTGTAATTGCCTCATGCTTACATCAAGCTCCAGGACAGACAGTGCAAGAGGCCAAGCCAATAGTAGCTGCACAGCACACATGCACAGTGATCCTGGAGCGGACATCTGTAGCACTGCCTGCCTCCCTCACCCCCTCTTAGATTTCTGTTCTAAAAATCCAGTGTCAAAAGCAATTCCGCTGCCTGCCTTCCATAAGCCTTCTGATCTCTCTCAGCAGGGTAAGACTGCCTACATCACTCCCTTTCAGGGCTCCCTCAGCATGGCTGGGGGTCCAACTTGCAGCCTGATGGAGACATCTGCAGAACACACACAGAGCGTCGCCTTAGGGAGTGACTGGGTTGCATGTTTACAGACTGTTGAGAAGGTTTGGAAAGATGCAGATCTCACCTCAGCTGGGAGGCCCACATGCCCTTCTGCATCAGCAGAGTGTTTGCAGCTTCCTTTTCCAACCTATCTCTTCACAGGCACAGCCAGGTGGGCTGCTCAGGGCTGCCTCCCTCCACTGGTGATGGCCCACGCCTGGTTGGTAACAGGAAGCTATAGCAACTATGTCACCTTCGGCCCAGTCCTGCACAATGGTAGCAGAGGGAGGTGTGGCATCTAGCAAGATCACTTCCTTCATGCTCTGTGCCGATGGGCTCTGGGACAGGTCTTGAATGTGTGTGTGCAGGTGTGCCTGCATTGCAAGTGAAATCTGTATTTCCCCTTTCACTATGGTGTCCTTTCCCCTCACTCTTCAACAAAATGTAGGAATTCTTACTGAGCTGTTAAGTTGAGGAAAAATAATTATTTACTTGCTGACTTGCTATATTTTAGCAAAACCAGAAAATGTTGTGTATTAAGTGAAAAAATATATATTTCAAGTGCTTAAAAGATTATTAGGGGGAGAGAGCCTTTTGTGTGATGCACTTCAGCAATTGTCACCATCTTCACCTTCTCCTAGTCAGTATCTCAAGCTGGGCCAAGCAAGACATGCCGCTTTCTCCTTTGTAATCTAATTTTTGGAAAAAAATAAATAAAAAAAATAATAAAATAAAAAAATTCATCCAGATCTATTAAAATGGCCTTTTTGGGGTTATATGCATTATGACAAATTTAGTCCATTTTGTATAAATAATAGTGTTTAATATGTATTTCCCAAAATAAATGTTTCAAATGCCAAGAGGTTTATGTGGATGTGTGTGTTTCTTGCCAGAACTGCCAAACCTTGGAGAGGTGGTTGGTTTGTCAGATACTGAACTGGCCCGGGGGGAGGTTTCTGGGAGTCCTTCACTTCCCAACCCAAGAGCTAACAGACATGGTGTTTGGGATTTAATCAGTGGCACTGTGTTTTCTGAATTCAGAAGATTCCAGCAATAAACTACTGTACCAATGTTGGGATCAGGCTAACAGCAGTGCTCCTGTTTGCTAATAATGGGCCCTTTGGGGGTTTCTACAATAATACTGTTTATCAGACCAAGTTTTTCCTTCTGGTAAATAATTGTAGCTATTGGGTGCTGCACCTTGGTGAATTTGTCCACTTAGACCCACTGTCCAGGCAAACTCTGGCATGCATCTACCAGTGCATTTTTAGCAAAACCAGGGACATCCTCCTCCTGCTTTACTCGGCCTTACTGCATCTAGTTTCCCCTCCCTCCCCCCCCACTTCAGGAGGGATGTGGGTAAGTTTGAGAGAGTCCAAAGGAGAGCCACCTGTATGATCAAAGGCCAAGAGAGCAAGTCTTACAAGGAGAGGCTGAGGGACATGGGACTCTTCAGCCTGACGAAAAGAAGGCTCAGGGGCACTTGGTGGCAGCCTATAAGTATATAGGGGGTGCATCAGGATCTGGGAGAGCAGTTGTTCACCAGGGCTACCCAAGGGATAACTAGGTCTAATGGCCACAAACTTCTAGAAGACTGATTCAGATTTGATATAAGGAAAAACTTCTTTACAGTCTGGAACAGATTCCCCCTGACAGGTGGGGCAAGCACCTACTCTGGACTCATTCAAAAGGCATTTGATGTTTATCCTGCTGGGATCATCTGATCCCTGTAGACTTCCTCCTGCCTCTGGCAGGGGGGCTGGACTCTGACCTCACGAGGTCCCTTCCAGCCCCTAATGTCTATGAAGTCTATGAGCAAGTCACCTCCCTAAGACCCGTTTCATTTCAGTCAGATAACTAAGGCATCCCCCTTCCAGTTGGTGCTGCTGTAACAAAACTGGGTGCATTTCTTTAGAGGCTATGTCAAGGCTTTTACTGGACCAGCACTCATTTAGCAAAGATCTAGCCAATGTATGGACTACTGCCAATCAGTCCTTTTCCAGTATGGATGGTATCTTGGGACCAAGCTCAGAAGGTTGAAGAAGCCTGGAGAACTTCAGCCCATGTGGTAGAGAGATCAGCTGTTTTATAGCAACCTTGAATTCAAAGCCTTGGGCACAATAGGTTCTGTTTGTCTTTAGATCCTGGTGGGAAAGGACTCAAAAGTTTTCACTGTAACTGAGAAAAAAGAGAATGCCTTGGGCTGGTGAGGCACAACAATCTCCACCATGGGACCTGATTGTCGAGAAGACCTTTAAAAATCATCTTTATTGTTTGTTCTCTATAGAGCAGGGGTCAGCTATGACCTGTGAGCCACATCTGGCCCAAGGAGCCTTTTGGATCTAGCCTGCTAAGCTGTCCCTTCAGCAGCAGTTAGCAGTGGGGAGCTCTCCATGTGCCATACTGCAGTCACCTGCCTGGGGCTCCATGTAAGGGGAGTTCTTGTGCTGCACAGTAGTCAAGTGGTACAGGCACCAGCAGAAGGGGAACTTTCACCCAGCAGCATGGGGTCAGGTCTTAATGCCTGCCTGCCTCCCACGTGGCCCAAGTCATCGTGGCCCAACCACCAGAAAATGTTGCTGACCCCAGTTATAGAGCATTGTGGCATATGGTGGGGTGGCTAGAGGAAGGAGGAAGACGCAAGAGTATGGCAGAGGGGGAAAAGAGGGGATTGAGAGAAGACTGAACAGAAGGATTTGAGAAGGAAGGAAGACCTGTGTCAATGTGATCCAAGCAGGAGTTGCTCTGGGGAGCGGGGTCCTGATAGAAGTTGCAGTATACAGGGTTCGAATTACAGGGCAGCTTGGGGGGGCCTGAGCCCCCACATAAGAGATGAGAGCCCACCTGTAAGATTTGAAAATCATAACCTGGGGGATCTGATTTTATTAGGGCATCATGATGGGCAGCCCAATTTTTTTTTTGCAGACCCCTGCAAGAGTCAAAGTGTAATTCGAACCCTGGCAGTAGGAATGCAGCATTCAATGGCTGCAGTAGCTGTGCCATGCACTGTGCAGCAGAATGGAGTACAGCTATTTCCTAGGGTCCTCTATATGCTGGGGAGGTGAGAAGACATTTTTTTAAAGGCTGCTGCAAGTTCAGCAGTGGAATGATAGGGCTGTGCAAAGCTTCAGATCAGGATTCGGATTCAGAGATGATTTGGATGATTCAGAGGCCGAATCTACAAATCCAGATCGAATCTCTGGAAGCTTTTTAGGCTTTCCAAATCGATTCTGAGCTTCCAAATCGCTTCAGAAAAGATTCGGAGCCGATTCGGCCATAGAGTATAATGGGGAATCAATTAAATATCTGTAACTTTGTTGTCTTTTGGCTGATTTGTATGAAACATGTAGGGATGGTAGCCCCGGTTAAAGACCATGACCTGTGCCACATTTCAAGCTGATAGGTGCAAGTGTTTCTGGAAAATTGCACCTCAAATTCTTGAAAGCAAAACACATGTCACGTGTGTGTGTGTGTGTTAAGCCACAGTGGGGTGAAAACTGCAGAGATGGTAGCCCCTGCTGAGGCCACAAAGCCTGCCAAGTTTCAAGGAGATAGGTGCAGGGGTTTG